AAAGTCTTCAATATATCCAGAATTATATATCTTATCTAGAATCTTCATGGCTGTACCGGCGACACAAGTACAGTAATTTTATAAAAATAACTATCTATTTTAGGTAAGGGTAGAACGTGAATTTTCATCTTAGAAATATATATTGTCTACTTTCGTGGAAATCTCAAGGATGTATTTTAGAAGATATTATGATGTGCGAGAATAAAACATTTAAAATATAAATTATTTCATTTGTAAATTATGAAAGTGTATAGAAGTATAATAATAAATGAATAAAAAAAAAATCTTATTTTGAATCATTATTTTTATGTTCCCTGAACCTGGACCCGATCCCTGGACCAGGGTCCTTTCAAATTTTATTCCTGTACCTGAACCCGGACCTGGACCCTTTTTTTTGTCTAAGGGTTCACATCTCTGGATAAAAGTAATTCAATTTATCACATTATTTATAATTTATTATAAAATTATTTGCCCATATAACATATATTTAATGAATAAAAATATGATGAACCAAGTTTAGAGTTCTAGAATATATGAATTCTTGGGTATTTCATATATGGCGCAAAAAATTTAAATTTTTCGACTCTATTTTTTAAAATAATTTGATATTTTTAAAACATTACAAATATTATGAAATTGTGTAAAATATAAAAATATTATCATCATAAAATAACCCAAACAATAAAAATATTATTATCTAAAATAACCCAAAATAAAAATATTAGTTCGGATAAAGGAAATTTTTTACTTAATAGCGGCATAGTCCTATTTGTAATCAAAATAACAATAAATGAGTGGTCAATAAAATAAAAATTGATTAATCATGCTCACTATTTAATTGATATTTTGGTATATTTCAAAAAACTTTAATAAATTCTAATTATTCTTTATATCAAAGGTAAAAACATTTATTAGTAGGAATGTACCGATATTTTTTATCGGATCGGGTCGATTATTTTATTTTCGATATATTTAATTTTTAGATATTTAAGAAAATATATTTAATAAGCTAAGAATATTCATATATAATTGAAATGATAAATATATTAAAAAACTAAATAAATAATTAACAATATACTAAAAAAAAATTTTTATAAGGTTATTTATAATTTTAAAAATAAATCAATAATTCTAAAAATGTACAAGTTACATTGATCATGGCAGACTAGATTGTAGAGTAGTTAAACGGCTCAATTTTTAAAAATGGCTAACGCAATATTTGGCCCAAATTTTAAGTTAGCAGTTTTTAAAAATCGAGCCGTTTAACAACACTACTGATGGGATACTACTTATTACATCAAATAATGTTTTTGGAACAAAAAAAAGGTTATTCAACGATTTTACTATAAAAATAACTTGATTTAATGATTTATATATAATATATGAATATAATTAACTAAATAACCCTGAAATACTAGGTTAATTAAAATTTTATAATAATTTAGTTTATATATTGAGCGAACAAACTCAGATTAATAATATCGGTTATTTGGCAGATATCAATATCGTATCAGATTCGTCTCCTAAAGCTGGTATGGGTACACCTGTAATTAATAGATATTACAATAAGTGATATTTTTATAAATTAATGTTTTATCTGATATGTATTTCAATAATGAACAAAAATCGAATTCGTGAAAATAGATCCTTTAACCCTTTTAAAATATTACAACATAATAAAGTCTTAGAAATGTACAACCATGAATGTCACTATACTCAGGTGATAAGATATTATAAATATAGAAGAAAACTCGGAAAAGCAAGTCAAATGACGCATTTATAGATGCTGTTTATCATACTGAAGAGAACCCGGCTATTGAAACAATTAATACATCATTGATTAAAATTGGGGAATCTCCACAAAGAAAAAGCTGACAGAAAAAAGATATCCAGTTAAAAAAATTAACAAAATAAAAAAAAAACTATAGAACCTCATTTATATAAATGCGATTGAGCTAACAACTATCGATAAAGATGATGATATTCTAAGTAATATTAAAAAAAATTCTCCCTCTTATCTAAAACTTATAAATATAAATTTTTGACGATATTACCAGAAAATTGGACAGTGTCCAAAATAATGAATGAATTTAATACAACAAAATACATGGCAAGACAAACTAAATTAATGATAGGGGAAAAGAGATTTCTATCAGCACCTAATCCCAAAACTGGAAAAATCATATACAAATATAGTTAAAATTGTCCAAGAATTTTGCCAGGCAAGAAAGATTTCGTTTGGATTTTACCAAAGGAGAAAAGAATACCATACAAAAGAGATTAATTTTTGATAATTTGAACGAAATTGTTAAAATTAGTTTTTAGAAATTTGCAAGCATTCTCCTAAAAATTGTATACTCATCCCAAAATTTTAAACTAATGATATTTATTTTTGATTTTTATAGCTAATAATGGCGATTTCAAATATTTGGTTTTAAATATAGGGCCCGGCCGGGATATTTTTTTAAAAAATATTCAGGCCCATCCCAGGTATATTTAAAAAAATTAAAATATGGCCTGGCTCGTGAAACCGGGACGGGCTTATGGCCAGGCCTGCAAGTCTCTGATATGTATATATATATATATAATATTTAATCAATAAATACCCCGGATCGTTCTCATGTTTTTTTTAATAGGCTCAAATCAAGCCATTCATGGATAGAGTTGCCAAAATATAAAATTTTTATATATTAGGAAAATAGTCTAAAATGTGTTTAAAATTATGTAAAGCAACTGTGGCATATTAAGGAATATTATCAACCATATTTGTAATGCATCATGGAATACTTTATCTTACAAAAATCTGCCAAATATTTTATTTTTCTTTGTCTAGATTTGATATAGATTCAGAAGAATTATGTAATAATATGAGCAGATTTTAGGTGTTGCATGATTAATCAAGAGACTTTCATTCATGAGTTATAAAAGTATCCAAGATGAATATAAAGAAATAGTATTCTTCGACAGTCTCTATATTAATATTGAAACAATGGGCTTGCCTTGCTGTTTGTCAAGATAGAAAAATATTAAGAGTTAATTTTCTTAAGTTCCAATATAATGCTTTTAGCTATTCTTGTAATCTCAATCAAATCGATGTTATTTTTTGAAATATTTTACTTTAGTTTCGCAGTGAAAATTTTCAAATAATGGTGAGAAATTTTAAAATGGTGGATAAATATAATGTCTAAGAAAATTTGAAATTTAATAATTCATAAAATAAATTAGTAAAGTATATAACATTTCTGCTGTCAATGTGATAAATAAATGTAAATTGGAATATATATGCAATAAGAGGTATAATCTGTAATATTTTTGTAAAATGGTAACACTCTACCCACCTTTCTTGTAAATAATATTGCAAAATAAATAAATAAAGCCAATTTTGCAAAAATTAAATAAACAAGGCCATTTTTCAGAAAAACAAGTAAGCAACTTTGTTCATATTTAGAACTTATTGCCACGTTTTTTTAAATTTTAAACTTTTGAAATATGAATTTCTATATATTTTTACCTTTTTTTTTCTTTGCTCACATTTAGAATCTTTTGCCACACTTTTGAAATTTTAATGGAGGTTTGAAAATAAATAATTCTTATAGTTATTTTTTAAACTTTTCTATTAGTATTATTTAATATAATAAAAAAAATTGCAAAATTCAAAGAGAAATAATGATATAAAATCAATTCAAAAAAGCATTTCTGATTGCTTTTGGCTATTTATTATTCTGCAAGGACAAGTGTCTAGAAGAAAAATAAATTTAAGCCATTCATTCAATACCTAATATGTGTTAGAGGTTAGCATAGGCTGGACTAAACAAAATATGCAATAAAATTTTGAAAAAGTTTTTAGAGCTAATAATTCAACAAATTAATGTTATATTCATTCGTATAAAAAAACATTATAAAGACTAGACAACTAGTACAAAATATATATTAAGGGCCAGGTAAAAATAATTAAAAACTTTTGTAGAGGTCTACAATGGGCATATATTTAGCCCATACATGCCCATATATTTAGACCATCCCCATGATCTATATAATCTAATAGGATTTTTGATAGTTTAGTTTAAAATTTATAAATATTTAATTTAAATTTTAAATTACTCTTAATAGTTGCAATTTTTAATTAAAGATCTCACTTAAGGAAGAGGATATACTTCAAATGGATATCCTACATTGGTAAATAAGAAAAAGATTTATCACTATCAAGATTAGCTATAAAAATATTGGATTTCAGCAACTAGTGCTTTTTTGAAAGAGGATTTAACATTGCTGGAAGATTTTTATAACATTTGAATCCAGAAAATGTGGATTCATTATTATTTTTACATTATAATTACAAATATCAATATTAATTTTATTTGATCAAATAAATATTTTTCTCATATTTTAAATTGAATTTTTTAATGCCTTATAGTGTGAGTGTTTTGCTGAAAATGAATTATTTTTTTATTAAATGCTTAAAAAAATTGAAAGAAATGGCATATTTAAATTTTATAAGGTCAAAAAAATTTACATATAATGGATGGGCAGGTAAAAAATTTTAGACTCATGGGTAGGGGGGAGGGCAAAGAATTTTTGACTAATGGGCAGATGGGTGGGTATTTTTTATAAATGGGTAAGTAGATTAAATTTTCTTAAGATTTTAGCTAGGCAGGCTTGTAGATTAAAAAGAACCATTGCAGACTTATAGGCTGATGAGTAAAAACCTAATGGTAAATTTACATGAACCAGGTCAGGTTGGTCACCAAAAATTAGATTTTAGAAGAATAACTAATATCATTAATCAACTTTTAAATTAAATCTATGGATAGGTCAAAAAAAAGTGTATAAATGCAACCCTAATAATTATATTACACAAATTGAATATGGATTATTATAAAAATACAAAAATATGATTATTATAGCTATGCAATCTATTAAATTATATTAATATAAAAGTAGTTATAGTTGATTAAATCTATATTTTTGTATCAAAAACATAAAAGAAACATAAATCATACTTGATATATAGTAAATAATGAAGCATAACAATACAGTATATGATAGAGCGGATGTTTTTAAAAATTTAAAAATTTTAATCATTTTTTTAATAATAAAAATAATAATTTAATTAAGCCCATACCTACCTTTTAAGTTATTTTGCTGAGTCGCCTATATGTTTCTAAACCTGTGTCATATCAAAATAGAGAAAGATGGCGAGATCATATGAACTTTTATAAAAGTTAAGCTAAAATGGCTGTTAGTAGCGATTATATTGTTTTTATCGTATCGTCCCGTAGTCTCGAATTATTATTAACTTTATACGTTTTGTCGCTTTACGAAAAGGTGAAAAAAGGTGAAATTGAATTTACAAGCTAAATACCATTTTTCAATAATCAACCCAGCATAATACTTTGAGTTTATATAAATAGGAAGTATAAAGGTAACCAATTTTTTTTAAACTATTAATTAAATATGACATGGAGATATTTTATGCTATTATAATTACATAATTATATTTATATAGTATATAAAGGTGCATATACTAATATCAATCAAAAGGGTCACATCCTACCCAGACCAAATCTGATATGTATTATTATGATATTTTGTTTTCTATTATAATATTAAATTTTAGTAGATCAACTTGCCCATAAATATAGACCTTTCAATACTTCATTCAGTCTATAGGAAATATTGTACATATTCTCCAATACTAATATTTTAAATATTATCTTAAATAAAATTAAGATATATCATACATTCAATAAAGTATTATTACTTTAAAAGTATTTTGTAATAATATTATACTTTGGCTATATTATTTGAAATTAAGATATAATCTTAGTTAAGGAAAATTATTACTATTTTTTTTAACAAAATATAATCCACTAATACCTGTTTCAGATGGCTATGCCTAATCACTTTAAAAAGCATACTGCTTACTTTACATACACAAATAAACCATGCCTTGGACCCTGGATTGTTAAGAACAATTTATTTACTATATCCAAAGAATGCACGAGTATATTAATTATAGATAAATTTTATATTAATATATTATAGATGCAATCTGCCTTCAAAAAAATTATTTTTCTGTATGATGCTAAAGAATTATAAAGCTATTCAAGATGATATTCCTATTCTCACCCAAGAAGCTGTTGTCAGTTAAAACAATTATGCATTAATTCCATGTAAATATAATATGATTAATACATTTACTATATCAATTATAAAGTTATTCAAGATGATATTCCTATTCACACCCAAGAAGCTGTTGTCAGTAAAAATAATTATGCATCAATTCCATGTAAAATTCTATATTAATAATAATCATTATATCAATTTAATTGCAATGATATTCAAAATTTATTTTCTTTTTAAATAGATCAATCACAATTCAATTTTCAAGATTTATTTTTTTTAAAAAAATCAATTTATAAATTAATAAAATCAAAATATAATAATGACTTTTTATATTCTAATAAGTATTTGTACATTAATGATAAATTAATATATTATAAATGCCATACAAAACATTGTAAAGGGAGGAGGATTTTAAATACTCATTTTATAATGACACAAGCATATTGATCATAATGATGAAGATATAAATAATACGCTCATCACGATCAATATGCTTAAAACAGAACTTATGTTAAATCAAAATATCAGTATTAGAAAGACATACAGAAAGGTTATGAGAGACAGAAAACTCGATCCTTTCTGTATGCAAAACCCCAAAACGTTACCTACCTTTTTATCAGTTAAATCCATTATGGGACGTGTTATTCAATTAACACGACACCCCCTTCCCCTTTCAAATGGTGATATTATATTAACCCAAGAGCACACAAAATCACATTTAAGTTTTTTTAAAACTACAATGTCTACTTTTGCCATATATTCTTTTTTCACGATTTTTCCTCCGTCATGTAATTATATTAATTGTTCAATAATTTCCATGTTGTCAATAAAATAACAGCTATTAGTCTAAGTATTTATATTCTAGTCGGGTCATACAGAAGTGGTATACGCCAATTACAATATTATGGTCGTTCTTACATTTATAGCCTAATTTTATATTGTATTTATCCACAATTTTTGTGATTTTTTATTTATTTATTAACGTTTTGTATTGCATTTATGCGCATTTTTTATCCAATTATTTTTTTCTGTATTTAACGTTATTCGTATATTTATACTAAATGATACCCTTATAAATAATGTATTATAAGATTATATATTTATTTGTGAATCCAATATTATTTAATAAAATAAATTAATATCCTTTATTGCTAATAAATGTATAACATTGCAATAAGTATTAATCCAACGATAAAAAATTTATTCAGGTATTTCCTACTAAGTTAGGTAACATATACTAATAGAATCTCAAAAAAATTAAAAGATGTGAGGAAATCTGTTGATTATATAAATAAGTATAAATCCAACGATAAAAAATTTTTTCAGGGATTTCCTACTAAGTTAGGTAACTTATATATACTAATAGAATCTCAATAAAATTAAAAGATGTGAGGAAATCTGATGATTATATAAATAAGTATAAATCCAACGATAAAAAATTTATTCAGGGATTTCCTACTAAGTTAGGTAACTTATATATACTAATAGAATCTCAAAAAAATTAAAAGATGTGAGGAAATCTAATGATTATATAAATAAGTAAAAATCCAACGATAAAAAATTTATTTAGAGATTTCTTAGTAAGTTAAGTAATTAACATATACCAATTAATCATAAAGCAATATATTATATAAACCAATATATATTTATATATCGAAATATATTATAAATAATTATAATTAAATTTTATATATGATGTAAATATATTATATTAAATATATATTCAATTATATTCAATATATAAGTAAATTAATATATAAAATATATTATACTAACTATGTTAATAATATTAACTATTAAATTTAAATATATTGATTATGTTATATTAAATACTACAAACAATCATATATTTAATTATTTTATATATCAATTAATTTAATATTAAATACATATATTAAATATTTAAATATATTATAAATATTTAAATTTTATATATGATGTAAATAAATAATTATATTCAATATATATATACTAACTATGTTAATAATATTAACTATTATATTAAATTTAATTATATTGATTACATTATATTAAATACTACAAACAATCCTATATTTAATTTTTTTATATATCAATTAATTAATAAATATTTAAATTGTATTATTTACTTTATTAAATTACAAATTTCTAATAATTCGTTACTAATTTAATATTAATTTAAATTATAAAATCTCTCTCATATGTAGTAACCGATTGAAATTTTTTGGCGGCCATATTTTAATTTTATATTTATAATTTAAAATCTCTCGCTTCAACCTTTAGGGGCCATATTGGTCGCCATTTTAGCTTATTTGTATTTTTGATACTTTTTAATATTCGAGACAGCGGACCCAAATCGTTTTTATTATTCTGAAAGAATAGTTATATATTTTACTACTCTTTTCGTCACATATAATTTAATTAATGAGCAATTATTAAAAAAAGGAACAAATAAACTTTGAATACACATAATATGATAAAGTCACTACTGGCTATTATGTTAATTTACCATAGCAGTCTTCCGTAGTTTTCTATTAGAACAGGTAAAAAAAATATTTAAATTGATATTTTAATCTTAAGTGGTGATGATATGACTTTAAATGAAGGTGATATAACCTTTAATGGTTGGAATTTATGTATCCTAAAATAATGGTGATTAAGCATATAAAAGAAAACTGGCAAATTTTTCATTGTTAAATTTGATAAATTGGAAAGAGTTCAATATCCCGTTTCCTAATTGTGAAGCCAGTTTTTATTTAAAAATTAAATATAACTCAAGCTGAATCTCAATATAAAGATATCTTTATAACATTTTTTGGTAATAAAAATATTGAACAGTTGATCGTGGATGTTACCCTGATTCTATTGAAAATTATAAGGAGATCAAGTCAATGTGATTAAAAATATTTAAACCGACTTCGAAAACATTTTCGTTTAGATTTAACATTGTTAGACTTTTAATAAACATAGGAAATTTTAACTCAATTTGCGGATAAAATTTAGCATAATGTAAGCGTTGTTAATATCCAAATGATATCGGCTAGCGTTTACGTGATCAGTTTATGGTTGGCATGAAAATGCAGAGATTGGAAACGGACCTTGTGAACTATATTCCAATTGTCTGGTTAGAGAAAAGAGTTGTTAAAAGATCGAATCAAAAGATCGACGAACCTGGATTCGATCGCAAATTTGTCAATTTTACGAGATTTATGATTCTGACTTAAATTGAGGATCGAGATCATTTTGTTTAAAATTCGATCCCGATCTTTTTAAAAATTAATTTTTTACTTAAAAAGCAATAAATAAAATAAAAATTTTGAAAATTAAATTAAAATATTATTTTTAAAAAAAAATATCTATCTTCATATTTTATCAACTTCCATTATCAACTTCCATTCCACTATTTATTTTATAGATATATTTATTCATTTCCTAAATTTTACGAGATTTAGAGCTCTTACAAGTTATTTAATATAAATTTATAATAATATATTAATATTTATTTTAATAGGTAAATGTAAATGTCCATTATAGATTTAGAAGATTCTATTGCTTCTACTATTGATGTAACAGCAGATATAAGTGAGAATGAGAATATTTTACCATTTTTGAAATTACGTAAGTATTTTACTTTATGTGAAATGGATGAAAGCAACTATTATAATATGATCAGCACCAAATGCCGTCTCTGTAAGAAGATAATATCATCTTCCAAAATATCATCCTCGAACTTAAAGAGACATTTACAAGTAATTCTCTAAAAATTTTGTTATTTGATAATCTTAATGTCAACATGTTTAAATTTAATTTATTACATTCCTGAGTTGAGCAGGTCCTACAGAAATAGAATCTAGATACAGATTCTTTATAAAAAAAATGAATTATTAGATACAGTATAATTAATAAAATATTTGATGAAGAAAACCGGATGTTTAGTACTATTATAGTTTTTGTTTTGGCACGTCGCCATTATTTCTTTTTTTCGCAAATAACTTATTATTCTTTAATTCGGCTACAAAATTGATTGAAGCACTAACCTCTACTAACGAAGCACTAAAGAATGATATAAGTTTCATCGTTAGTGCTTTCATAATTTTCCAGCCGAAATTTGACTTCTAAAAATTTCTTTAGCATGTTACAATTTTTTCATATGACGATTAACAAAATAAATAACAGAATTTAAAAATACTAATTAAGCACTAAATAATGGCGAAAACCGGATGTTTAGTACTATTATAGTTTTTTTTTGGCACGTCGCCATTATTTCTTTTTTTCGCAAATAACTTTCGATTTTTAAATTCGGCTACAAAACTGATTGAAGCAGTAACCTCTACTAACGAAGCACTAAAGAATGATATATGTTTCATCGTTAGTGCTTTCATAATTTTCTTGCCGAAATTTGACCTCTAAAAATTTCTTTTGCGTGTTACAATATTTTCATATGACGGTTAAAAAAATAAATAACAGAATTTAAAAATACTAATTAAGCACTAAATATGGGCGAAAACCGGATGTTTAGTACTATTATAGTTTTTGTTTTGGCACGTCGCCATATTTTTGTTTTTACGTGAATAACTTTTTATTCTTAAATTCGGCTACAAAACTGATTTTAAAGCACTAACCTCTACTAACGAAGCACTAAAGAATGATATTAGTTTCATCGTTTGTGCTTTCATAATTTTCCAGCCGAAATTTGACCTCTAAAAATTTGTTTAGCGTGTTACATTTTTTTCATATGACGGTTAACAAAATAAATTACGGAATTTAAATATAATAATTAAGCACTAAATAATGGCGAAAACTGGATGTTTAGTACTATTATAGTTTTTGTTTTGGCACGTCGCCATATTTTTGTTTTTACGTGAATAACTTTTTATTCTTAAATTCGGCTCCAAAACTGATTTTAAAGCACTAACCTCTACTAAAGAAGCACTAAAGAATGATATAAGTTTCATCGTTAGTGCTTTCATAATTTTCCAGCCGAAATTTGCCTCTAAAAATTTGTTTAGCGTGTTACAATTTTTTCATATGACGGTTAACAAAATAAATTACGGAATTTAAATATAATAATTGAGCACTAAATAATGGCGAAAACCGGATGTTTAGTACTCCTATAGTTTTTGTTTTGGCACGTCGCCATTATTTGTTTATTTTTGATTTTTCGTGAATAACTTTTTATTCTTAAATTCGGCTACGGAACTGATTGAAGCATTAACCTCTACTAACGAAGCACTAAAGAATGATATTCATCGTTAGTGCTTTCATAATTTTCCAGCCGAATTTTGACCTCTAAATTTCTTTAGAGTGTTACAATTTTTTCATAACGGTTAACAAAATAAATTACGGAATATAAATATACTAATTAAGCACTAAATAATGGCGAAAACCGGATGTTTAGTACTATTATAGTTTTTGTTTTGGCACGTCGCCATTATTTCTTTTTTTCGCAAATAACTTTTGATTTTTAAATTCGGCTACAAAACTGATTGAAGCACTAACCTATACTAAAGAAGCATTAAAGAATGATATAAGTTTCATCGTTAGTGCTTTCATAATTTTCTAGCCGAAATTTGACCTCTAAAAATTATTTTAGCGTGTTACAGTTTTTTCATAACGGTTAACAAAATAAATTACGGAATATATATATACTAATTAAGCACTAAATAATGGCGAAAACCGGATGTTTAGTACTATTATAGTTTTTGTTTTGGCACGTCGCCATTATTTCTTTTTTTCGCAAATAACTTATTATTCTTTAATTCGGCTACAAAATTGATTGAAGCACTAACCTCTACTAACGAAGCACTAAAGAATGATATATGTTTCATCGTTAGTGCTTTCATAATTTTCTAGCCGAAATTTGACCTCTAAAAATTTCTTTTGCGTGTTACAATATTTTCATATGACGGTTAAAAAAATAAATTACAGAATTTAAAAATACTAATTAAGCACTAAATAATAGCGAAAACCGGATGTTTAGTACTATTATAGTTTTTGTTTTGGCACGTCGCCATATTTTTGTTTTTACGTGAATAACTTTTTAATCTTAAATTCGGCTACAAAACTGATTTTAAAACACTAACCTCTACTAACGAAGCACTAAAGAATGATATAAGTTTCAT